ACACACACACACACACAGACTCACACTCACACACACACACACACACACTCACACTCACACACACACACAGGCGGATATTGGCAGAAAGAGAGGTAGAATGGCAGCAGGACGTGACACACTCTTGATGGGAACACTGTCCTATATGTTGTAAGTGTGTAATACACTACTGCTGTTCCACAACTCGTAACTTACCAAACCGGCTGTTTCTGTGTGTTCATAACGGTATGAATCACAAATGATTTATGCTTTCTGCAAGTCTGTGTGGCTGTAAGAGGTTTATAAAGCTCCTGTTAGCTGATTTGAGTCTTTGACTGTATGTGCTAGTACTCATTTTCACCCCGTTTCGTCTGCAGTTTTCATAATAAGACTGAGCTATCAGTAATCTCTGTAAATGAGTAACAATGTCTGGCGCGGCGTCAGAGAAGGGTTGTTGTCATAAGAACATGATAGCTGACTTGAGAAACACAAACAGAGGACGTTTGATATGAGCGAGCTAGAGCACTAGATTTAGGCATGTGCAGAAAGTGTCCTGTTCTTCTGTCATATGCTAAATCAGTGGGGCTATTTAATCTTACGAAAAGTACTGAACATGGTTCAGTGATGGAACTATATGGTACTTTCATGTGTAACACTTGAATGATCATCATTTTCACATATCATATTCATATAACCTTCATATTCATATATCATGATCATATGCAGAAGTATTCATATAATATTAAAAACAGAAAGTGTCATTTAAATACTTTTTCAGTGAAAGTGTGTGATCAAAATGGAAATCTGGCATTCATAATCCTAATTTGAAAAAAAAAAGTATTAAAAAGTAAAAAAAGTTTTAATTTCATAAGTTTGTAACAAAACAATGTGTTCAAATGGAAGATGTACTAGAAAACATGTATTTGGGTGGGTTTAATACACTCACTTTCTCTGTATTGAAAAAAAAAAGTTGTTTCGAAAAATGTAGTCGATGTGCATTTTCACTAGTGCTCACTGACTTTTGAATCTCACCGTGTGTGTGTGTGTGTGTCTCATTCACAGTCCTAATAAAGTTGTGCATTTGTGTTTGAGTTGTAACATGTATATAATGATCCTCTGTTCTAGGTGGATGCACCTTCGATGATGGCCCCGCACAATGCGACTACCAGCAGGATCCTTACGACGACTTCGACTGGACACACGTCAGCGCTCAAGAAGTGCCATACCTGCCCTCTGACCTGCCCCAGGGTGAGTCCATCAGACACGCTTGCTCATAGCTGGAATAAACTAGATTTGGACTCCACTACGCGCAGTAACGTCCTCGCTAACCTCACGGTTGGAGAATCTGAGGCAAGTGGGGCAAGTCTCCAATTTGAAAGAACACAGAGTGAGAGTGAAAACGCATGGTTTTATCTGCCCTTGGGCTTGTTTAAACAGTAAGGCCGATTTAGGAATGTTTTAATGGGCTGCTAACATTTGAACAAATTTGCAGCGCCGTCTTATCGTGTCAGGGTAAAAGCCATTACTGAAGAACTGAAGAAGTTGAGAGAAAATAGGCAGGTAACAGAACATTAATCTTCTTTAAACTGCTGTTCCCGCTCTCTGAACACTCCTCGGTTGGGATCTGAAAATACTTTTCCATTTACATGACAAAACGTGTGAAGTGCCGGAGGGGGAAAAAGGCTTTGGTCAAAGGACTGTCATACGTGACACAATTAAGCTTTTTAAATGTGCTGAAAGAAGATGCGAACAAGAGGGGAGAGTGGAGCGTTGCGACCTTCACTTTTCACCTCTCCGATGCTTAATCACTCGTTTTCAGACAGGAGATTCTGCTCAGGGAAATTAAAGCATTTCACTCTCAGCTAAATTCCCTAATTAATTAGATATTAAGTTATTAATCAAGGCAGGAGAACAGAGAAGGTCGTCAGCCCTTGCTTTCAGTCAGGTAGGGTTTCACTAGAAGAGGACCTGAAGGAGAACATTGCAGTTTTTATGATAATAGCTGTTGCATCTCGCTTGAGGCGCCTGGGTAACTAACACCTTTAAGCAAATGAATTGAACAAAATGATAATTTGATGTTTTGTCATTTTTTGCTGCATTTAGAAGGCATGCATTCATTAAGGTTGATTTCTCACTGTGTTTGCTGGCGTGCTTGTGTGTGAGCAGCTGGCCTCGTGGGCTGCTGTCTCTCGCTACATTCACTTGAGAACACCATTTAGGGGACTCTCATCAGACTTGTCTCTCATGGAAAGTTGACAAAGATGGGACGTTTGGATGTCTTCATTTTGATATCAAACAATCAACAGAAGTGCTCTTTCTGCAGAAAAACACCGGGATAAGAGTAGAAAGGTGAACAAAAATAGGGGAAAGAGAAAAGGATGGAAAGGACAAAGAGACATAAAGGTGGAAAAATGGACAGGAAAATACACAAATGTGTTAAAAAAGACGATGAGACAGAGAGATGGACAGTAAGAGACCGTAAGATAAGAAGATGGAGAGGAATGACAGAAATGTAGATAGAAAGATAGATGGGGAAAAGGGAGAGAGAGATGGACGGAAAGAGAAAGAAATGTGGACAGAGGGATGAATAGGAAGAGACACAAATGTGGACAAAAAGGGAAATAAGAATGAGACAAAATGATGGACAGGAACAACAGAAATGTGGATAGAAAGATAAATAGGGGAAGAGAGAAGGATGGAAAGGGAAAAGACAGAGGGATGGACAGAAAGAGACAGAAATGTGGACAAAATGGACAGGAAAAAACAACTGTGGACAGAGAGATGGACTGGAAAAGAGAGGGAGATGGACAAGAAGAGACAAATGTGGACAAAAAGTGGAAAAAATAGAAATGTGGACAAAGATATGCAGGAGTAGATAGGACAAGACAAAAAGATGGACAGGAACATCTCAAAAGTGGATAAAAAGAGGGATGAATGGAAAGAGAATATACAAAGATGGGCAGGAAAAGGGAAATGTAGACAAAAATATGGACACGAAACAGAGGGAATGATAGAAGGGAAAATAGAGATAGAGAGCAAGAAACAGAAATGTGGACAGAAAGATAGACAGCAAAGAAGAGAAGGGTGGAAAGGGAAAAGAAAGAGATGGACAGAAAAACACAGAAATGTGGACCAAAAATGGACAGGAAAAGACAAAGATAGACTGCAAAAGAGAGAAGAATGGAAAGGGAAAGAGACAGGGAGAGACAGAAATGTGGATAGAAAGATAGACTGGAAAAGAGAGAAGGATGGAAAGGGAGAAGCCAAAGAGATGGACAGAGGAAGACAAATGTGGACTAAAAATGATCATTAGTTTATATTGGTTTATTATCGGTTGATGTGCATGAGGTTCATTATGGTCCATTCCTGCACTCTCTGCAAGAAGAAAATGTTTTATAAAGTGACGCAAACATGTTTGCATGATGTGTTTTTGCCATAATTACAAACATTAAGTGACGCTAGCTGCATGGCTTGATGTCTCAGTGCTTGAGGGACGGTGTGGACGGTGTGGCTGAGTGACTCATTGTAACAGTAAGTGAGCACAAAGCCTGGAGAGGATTCTCTACATCTACAGGGATACATTTTGAGTTACGGTGGATTAGCACAGACACATTAGATGCTAGTTTTGTTTTTTTTGTATCATTCTGCCTGAAGGGGTGTTCACACTGATAGTATTTTGCAGTAAAAAAGCCACCGGAAGTTGCTCGTTCTCATTTTAAAGCGACATAGCCGACAGCGACTGTCAGAAATGTACAGAGTTGCAAATGAGGAGTTGATCTACTGGTGACTACCAATGGGAGTGCAGACACAGAAGCTCATGTGATCCACCTCCTGATAGTTTCTTACTGATGTTTAGTGGCTTTAAATTAGGGCTGTGCGATAAATCGAAATCGTCATAAAATCGTGATTTGAGCCTGCGCGATTTCTAAATCGCTTTTTAGCGCGATTGCGGTCCGGCAGTGCGCTCCAGGAGCGGTGCGTCTGCAGCAGTCATGCTGCGATCGTTTCCGCACTGAGTCTATTTCTGCTGTGCTGCACGTGCTGAATTAATGTGACAGCGCATTATTCGCGGTAAAAATTAACATGGATTGACACGTAATAATAGATAAACAAGGCAATAATAGATGGCACTCGTGGTGGTAGTTAAAGTTATATTTATTGAGTTGAAACGTGAATATGTCTATGAAAGATCAAAGAGTGATAAAAGAGAATCACAATGCTGAAAAAGCATTTTCAGAAAC